CCTGCCCTTGAAAAATACATCAAGAGTTAAGAAAACATATAAAAAAGTATAAAAATCGTGACGTTTTGACGTCACGAGATTTCCCTAAAGGCTTTTTGAGCTACAGAGATATAAAAGTGAATAAGAAGGATTTTTTTTTTGTTTTCGCTAAAAGAAAACAGTAAAAATGTAGAATGAGAGATAGTAAAAGATGCCTGGGCATAATAAAAAAAATTTTTTTTGCTGCAATTTTCTCTTTCAAATCAACATAAAAAATAATTTTTGAGATTAAAAAATTGAATTGGAATTAATTTTTTTTTCTATTAGGAATTTTTTTCAAGCTAATAATTTATGTCTTGTAATTTTCAATAAGCTTTAAGTATCGGGAGGCATGAACTGATCTCATAAAATAAGTTGAAGATTTAATGAAATAAACCCGAGCAATAAATGTATTTTAAGATTTGATTCAAGATTAAAGTTTTACATTTAGGTTATATATAGATAATTGGTTATAACTCTAAAATTCAAACATTAATCAGTTTTAAATCCTTTGTATATTACTTTTGCCACGTTTTTCTTTGGATTTTATTCTTGATTCTACAAATTTAATGCTTGAAAAGCGATGAATTATAAGAAAAAGTTTTCGAGGTGGGGTAAATATTCAAATTTTTAAAAACCGTTAAGTTCCTCAATGAATTTTATTGCTCGGGCTATACGCAGCACACAGCAATGCTTCACGAAATCAAATAAAATGCCTCACTGCGAATCGTGATATGGCTTTATTGCCGTTTTTGTTTTTTTTTGTTTGCCCCATTGATATTTAAAACAATTAGTCAAATCGAAGAAAGAAGAAAGAAAAACTGCCTGGGAAAGAGATTCTTTGCTCTCACATGAGTGTACACAAAAGTAAATATGAAATATAAAGGAAAAAAATATGAATTTATTGACAATCAGTAAAACTAAAAATGAAATCAAAATGTCATTAAGGGTCAAGCAAATGTAAGAAATCTTTGGCTTAAGTAAAGAAGAGGAAAAAGAAGAAAAAAAAAGATTAAAGCATGCGGCATATAATAAACTGGCAATAAATAATACAAAACAACTGTATGGAAAAATATAAGAAGAGAATTTTGCAATGAGATAAAGTGAGGGAGATGAAAATACCAAAAGGTACAGAAGTAATATTGAAGGTTGTAGAAAAAAAAATTTTTTCAATTGTTAGCAGCAATAACGAAAAATAAATAAATTTATTAGATAGATTTATTTTTTTGAACTTGCTTTACTGCTTATTTTATTTCTCTCTTTTTACCTTCTCTCGTTATGCCCGATCAAATTTTTAAGATAAGCATTAAAATGTGCTTTTTTTGTTTATTCATTTTTCCAAACGATACATAAAAAATTATTATAGTTAATTTCTTTATAGTCACTAAATCGATAGGCTATGATCAAGGAAATAAGAAAGTATAAATTGTGGAGAGAAATTAAGTACATCGATGAAGACAAAATTAGTAATGAAATTGAATCGTGGATAATATTTTCGGATTGAGCGCATTTTGTGCCTCGAGATTAGTTGGAATCGGTTTGATTTTGATAATTTGTTTGATGTATTGCAGTACCTTTGGAATTTAATGTAAGAAATTTACATGAGAAATTAAACAACTGTTTTTTTTAAATATATTAAAATTTTTTGTGCCATTTTTAAATGAATTTGTTTAAAAATGTGAATAAAAAAATCACAAAATTCTTTAATTTAGGACTAGATTTATGAATAAAAAGCTAAATCGATGGTTTGCTCATTCAAAATTAAGATTTCTACTAAGTTTGAGCATGGTTCAATCATTAATTGAGTCGAATTTCGACTGTAGACTTTCAAGGTGGAAACTTTAACCAAAAAAAGCATTTTCGACCTGAATCTAATGCAAATTTCTCCAAAAACACAGTCAGGCATCCAACCAATTTTGTCCAAACATTAAGAATCAATTTTATATCCACAAAGTGTACAATTTACAAAAGAAATTTTAACAAAGAATCATTTTTCCATCTGCTGAAGCGTAAAATAATAAACTTTTGCTGATATAGGTTAGAATGTAAATAATAATAACAATAATATTCCTACTTATAAAATATTATTGCAGCAAAAAAAGAGCACTTTTTGCGGTCCAACTGTTTTTCTCAATTTACACTGAAGTTTATTTAGATTGCCAGCAGGAAATTTCTCTGAAAGATTTTCTGCAGCTACTGATATACATAAATAAAGATTCTGTGCTGCATGTAAAATGAAATATGTTTATATGCAACATTCACTTGAATATTATAGTTATCAATAAATTATCGTGGATACTTCACAATTACCAAGCTGATCGGAGATATTGGATTTACTTGGAATCCCTTAGCTGAGTTGCTAGTCACATTTATTCACACCTGTCGTGGCTTTAAATCATTATGACAAAAGTTTTGTTTGAAGATTGTTTGGCAATATGAAGATTTGGGTTTCTGGAATTAGATATAAAATGTGAAAGTAAGAGATCTACCCAGGAATTTGATTTAGGTTCCAGCAAAGTCCCTACCTTCAATTCTGCCTCAGTTTCATCACCAAATTACCATAGAATCCATCAAAAGACTTAAAAATTCTGAAAATTCATTTAACAAAACTTTAAAATCCAATAATCAATTCGTCATGAAACCCAGACACATGTCGTTCACACAAAATCGATAAATAATTTTCAAGAATTTTAAAATGACCCATGACAAATTCATTTGCACTTTTAAATGTTAAATTTGCATCTATTAAATTCATTGTTTGCAGTTTTTTTTAAAAAAAAATAAAATCAACTAATGTTGTGCAATCTGTGACGGAAAAGAATGGCGAAGAAAAATGTACTCACTTCAATTGAAACTTTAAATGACTTTTGTTAATCATAAGATACGGCAAAGGGGTGATTATAGATGATGTCTAGCATTTAAGAAATAATAAACTATTTTAGTATTCATAAAAATTAAAACTTTATTGCTGAGGAGATCATTGGATTCCAATGTTAAAGATAGACGTCACTTAAGTACAACTCCCAACTTCACTAAAGATCAAATGGAAATAAAATTCAATGGAAATAATTTTATTGTATTCATCGAACCTATTTGTTTCCTCCTCTTTTGCATATAAATGCTGAAATCAATGCGTCTCGCATGCATTTTGTTCATTTGAGGCGATTCACAGTTTTTAAACCGTATTTATCACATGAAATAATTTGATATTTACATGTTCTTACTGTTTAACATCCATGGATTCAATAATTTACTGTTCATCATATGATACATGCATGTCACTTGTACACATGTGAAACTGTAATGATCATAATCAATTAGCTAATGAAGCTAGTTGATTGAATATAATAATCTATTTAAAGCATAATTATGGTGGATATGATGAGTGCTGTTGGTGACAGAAGTTGGTAAATTGATAGGAATAGCGATGGAATGTAGAAATAACGGGGAAGTTGGTAGATTTGGTGCATTGTAGCTGATATACGGCAAAAAAAGAGATAAGATAAAACCAAAAAACAGAAGAAACCGACATAACCATCAATTTAGAATTGTCTGGGATTCGAACCCAAGTCATCAATGAATAAAACCATAACTTATCCTCAAAGCCATTCACTTGATATCTTTGAATTTTGCCATAATCGCAAATACAGCATACGTTCATACTCAAAGTCCATTGCATAATAAACTAAAGAATGCGCTATAGCATCAACGTAGTATCCATACCCTCACTCAATCTCCTTTTCTATTCAGAATTCTTTCATAAAAAGAAGTGCTTTCACACAAATCAACTCAACAGTGAAGAAGAGGAGGCAAAAAAAAAGCCTTTAATATTGTCACATCATCAATTCATTGCAATTTACGGCTCCTTTCGATTTCTATTCAATTGAATGTGGCAAAAAAAGAACAGGAAAAGAAGAAACACAAAGAGACAATTATGGATTTAAAGTTCTCAACTCCCGTTACATCCTGGCTAGTGTAGTAGCATTGATACTCAATGAAATTTGTGTTATGTTTTTATGCAAGCATATTTTATGGTTGCTTTATGCTGGTTTGAGAATCTTAAAGCCATTGTTACTGCCAATTTTGACTCACATTCCACTCAATAGAATAGATTTTTTAATTTCCATCAAGTCTTTGCTGAAAATTTACGTCTTAAATCTCAAATAAACTTTTTATGTGCGATCATTAAGGCGATAGTTAAGCACAATTATGAGGTGAATAAAAAAAGATTTTACAGCATAATAAGAACTTCTTAAACCTAATTGAAATTAAATATTAAGAATTCTGATTGCTTATTATTATCGTTAAAGAGTTAAGCGAAAGATGAAGACTACATAAATACATAAAAGTAGATTCACATAATAGTAACAATTGACAGAAAGTCTTACTACTCTCTAGCCATTTTTATTTCTCTTTTTGATGTTGGAACTTTAAAGAGATATTAATAATGGTAGAAAAAAGAGAAATAGCAGTAAAGAAATGACCAATTAAGGCAATCGCATTCAATTATTGTTTTACAAACTATTTAGATGTCGAAATGAAGGAAATAAGTATGAAGTAGAAGCAGTTGAGTTGGGATAAGAATTGTAACTTGAGTCTTGTGCGCAGTTTTCTTGTTTTTTGGGTAGTTTTAAGAGATTTTTGCTGTAACTTAGTTTTGTTCACAAAATTTCCCGCTAAAATTTACAGAATATTGAATTTAACCTTAAAATAATGAAATCTTCTTATCTTATCACAATCTATCCAAAGTTCCATAGAATCCCTCTATAGTTTGTTGAATTCCCGCTCAAAAGCCAAAGAAAATAAGCACAAAGAGAGATGTAGCTTTATTTTGTGATGTAACATCATCTTAAATTGTCAGATAGAAATATAATAATATTTAAGGAGAGAAATTGAATGCTACAAGTTGGAAATATTATTATTAAGCCTATATAATTCTCATTCAAATACTAATGATTCTCATAATTTTCTATTTTCTACAGGTTCACCACCTCTAACAGGCACCGGCACGGTACGAGTCATTGTGCAAGACATGAATGACCATAGTCCAGAATTTGAACGACAATCATATCGAGCAACGGTATCTGAGAACTTACCAGCTGGGACGAAAGTTTTGAGTCCAATAGCACGTGACAAAGATGCTGCACTTAATTCCAAGATTCGTTTTAGTCTCTTGGGCGATAAAATGGAGCGTTTTCATATTGATCAGGATAATGGTGAAATAACAACGGCTGTTGTGTTAGATCGAGAAGATACAGCAACATATCACTTTACTCTTATGGCACAAGACTCATCAGCAACAGAACCACGTGCTACAGCTGTTAACTTCACGATAAATGTTGCTGACGTGAATGACAATACGCCATCATTTGAACAATCATCATTCACTGTCAACATACCTGATCGCATAAAAGCAGGACAGTTCGTATTCGGCGCCAAAGCCATTGATCTCGATGATGGCATTAACAGTAAAATCATTTATTCTATAAGTGGCAAAGATGCGAATCGATTTAATATTAATCCCAATACTGGTGTCATAAAGGCAGCTGAGGAATTGTCATTGAGTGGACAGGGCAATGATAGAATCTTCAATGTAGTCATTCATGCCTCAGATAATGGACATGAACCAAAGTCTACAAAATGTGAGTTAACAATTGACTTGAGAGCAGCACACTTGTTTCCAATCTTCTCGTACTCCGAGACTCAATTTATGTTGTCTGAGGATGTTCCTGAAGGCAAAATAGTGACAAAGATTGAGGCGACATCGCCAAAGAAGGGACCGTCGGGAGTCATTAAGTATTCAATTGCTGGCGGAAATATTAGAAGTGCATTGAAAATTGACCAGACAAGTGGTGAAGTAACAATTGGTCCGGGACGTTTAGACTACGAGACATCACAGCAATATGAGATTTGGATTGAAGCTGCCGATTCGGATAAGCCGAGTCTTCGTAGTGTCATGAAAGTAACAATTAACGTAACGGATGCAAATGATAATGGACCAATTATGGAAAAAATGATTTACTATGCTGAAGTTATGGAAGAAGAACCACCACCGCAAATGGTTGCTCGTGTACATGCAACGGATGCTGATAGTGATGAGAATGGACAAGTCTCTTATCGTCTCGTCAATGATTTTGAGAGTGCTTTTGAGATTGATTCCGATACTGGTGAAATTTTCACAAACATGCGATTGGATCGTGAAGATATTCCCAGTTATGAACTAACCGTTGAAGCCGTTGATCAGGGAATGCCACAAATGACTGGAAGCGCTACAGTAATCATTACAGTACTCGATAAGAACGATAATCCACCACGATTCACACGATTGTTTAGCGTAAACGTAACAGAGAATGCAGAAATTGGTGTTTTTGTAATTAAAGTGACCTCATCTGATTTAGATATCAATGAGAATGCAAATGCAACATATAATTTCACAGAAAATCCGGGCAATAAATTTGCAATTGATCCAATTAGTGGCAATGTAACAGTTGCTGGGCGTTTAGATCGTGAACAACAAGATGAATATCTGTTGAAAGTTGTGGCAGTCGATGGAGCGTGGAGGCAAGAAACGCCATTAACAATAACCATACAAGATGTTAATGATAATGCACCGGAATTTGAACACAGCTATTATAGTTTCAATTTGCCGGAGCTGCAAAAGAACATTGCCTTTGTTGGACAGGTTATTGCGACAGATCGTGATAAGCAAGGACCAAATTCTGTTATTTCATACTCACTACAACAGCCAAGTGACTTATTTACAATTGATCCAGCAACCGGTGAAATATTCAGCAAGAGAACAATTCATTATAAGCATTCACAAATGGAATCATCACCCGAGAACATGTACGTTTTGACAGTCTTGGCAACTGACAATGGTAAACCCCCAATGTATTCAGAATGTCTCGTCAATATCAACATTGTTGATGCGAACAATAATGCACCAAAATTTGAAAAACGAGATTACCTCTCACCCGTACCTGAAGACGCAAAAGAAGGTCAACGTGTATTGCAAGTCATCGCAAAAGACACATTGGACTTTGGTATTAATGCTGAAATCGAATATATCATAACAGGAGGAAATGGAAGCAATCATTTTGTCATCAACAAGAATGATGGATGGATAAGTGTCAACAAGCAAATTAATGTCGGTCCTGGTGTTGTCTTTCAACTCTCGATTCGAGCTGTTGATCGAGGTGTGCCACCACAATATGATGATGTTACAGTAACAATTATTGTGGCTGGTGAGAATCGATTTTCACCCGTTTTTACAGCATTGAGTTATCAAGTCATTGTACCTGAAAATGAACCAATTGGATCAACAATTTTAGTTGTATCAGCGACAGATAATGATGACGGTCCGAATGGAATGGTCCGATACTCTATCTCGGGTGGAAATGAACGTAAGGAATTCTCTGTTGATTCGTTAACGGGAACTGTCACAATTTTACAGCCACTTGATTATGACACGATACAAGAATATCATTTGAACATCACAGCCGAAGATCTTGGCTTTAAGGCACGAAATGCAGTTGCGATGTTAAGGGTGACATTAACAGATATCAATGATCAAAAACCGGAATTTAATCAAACGGAATATCATGCATACTTACCCGAAAACTTACCAGCAAAAAGTTATGTCTATAAGGCGCATGCAGTCGATAAAGATTCAGCGAAAAATGCGATTATTCAGTATACAATAACTGGCGGTTCTGGTCGTGATTATTTCTATATTGATTCTCATAGCGGAACCATCTATTCAAAAGTCACATTTGATTATGAGGAACAGAATTTCTATCAAATTATTGTTACTGCTTCAAATCCAGACTCACCAATGTTAAGCACATCGAAAATTTCAATTCATATTACTGGAGTCAATGAATTCTATCCACGATTTGTACAGCCTGTATTTCACTTTGATGTGTCTGAATCTGCTGAAGTTGGAACTAGTATTGGTTCCATTCATGCAACTGACAAAGATTCTGGTGATGATGGAAAGGTTTACTACTTACTGGTTGGATCCAGCAATGATAAAGGATTTAGCATTAATGCTGAGTCTGGCGTCATGTATGTCTCGAGACTTTTAGATCGTGAGACTCAATCTCGAGTTGTTCTTACTGTCATGGCTAAGAACTTCGGTGGAATACGTGGAAACGATACAGATGAAGCACAAGTCATTATCACAATTCAGGATGGCAATGATCCACCAGAATTTGATTACAGTCAATATGAAGCAACAGTATCAGAAGGTGCCACAATTGGAACTAAAGTTGTTACTGTAAAAGCAGCTGATAAGGATGTAAGACCACAAAATAATCAATTTGGGTATTCAATCATTGGCGGAAATATTGATCAAGCATTTAAAGTTGATCCACAAAGTGGACAAGTTGAAACATCAAGGAAATTAGATCGTGAGAAGACACCAACATACTCACTTACAATTGGTGCCATTGACACTGGAATTCCACCACAAACTGGAACAACAACAGTTAAAATTCAGCTATTGGATGTTAATGACAATGGACCAACTTTCGAAGAAAATAACTTGATTGGATATGTGTCTGAGAATGAACCAGCAGGTGCTAGTATCATGACATTGTCAGCTACAGATCCTGACTTGCCACCAAATGGAGCTCCATTCACATACTATCTTATTGGTGGAAAGCATAAAGCCTTAGTCAGCATTGAGAAGCATTCAGGATTAATGAAGACAACAAGATCAATTGACAGAGAAGTTACACCACAGTTGGAAGTAGTGATTGAAGTTGAGGATAATGGAAAGCCTAAAATGAGATCACATCATAAAATCTTGATTAATGTTTTGGATCAAAATGATAGTCCATCATTGCCACGAGTTGCACATGCTTTAGTTTACACATTTAATGACAAAATTCCAATGGGTAAAATTGCTGATGTCCATCCAAATGATCCTGACTCGACTGGTGACTACAAATGTAAAATTATCAATGTATCAAAGAGTTCAGTAGTGCTGACAATTCCAGAATCATGCAATTTACACACAACATCAACAACAAAAGCACAAGGATACTCATTGTCAGTGTCTGGAAATGATGGAAAGCATCCGGATGTTATGTCAACAATTACTGTTGAGTTCCTGAACTTTGATAATAATACAGTCGCTAATTCCATTACAATTCGAGTTGACAACATGACATCAACAAATTTCTTAGCAAATTACTATCGAAGCTTCCAAGACGTTCTAAAATCATCAATGGACAATGGTGATGAAATTTCACTATACAGCATTCGTGAAATTCGTAATGGTGTTGAAATCACTGTAGCTGCAAAATTCCTATCGGGTTATAGATCATCTGGTTACATAACCGAACGAGTACAGAAGAAACGTGAAGCACTCGTGCAATTGATTCAAAATAGAAATCTTATTATGCCATATACGCCATGTAATTCAAATACTTGTGATAATGGAGGCATTTGTTCGGAAAAGATAAGTGTTAGTGACGAGACGAGAATTATCGATAGTCAAAATTTAATATTCACAACACCATTGATATCGCATGACTTTAACTGTAAATGTGCTGATGGCTATACAGGAAATACGTGCGAAAAGAGACAAGATCCATGTGCACCAAATCCATGTCAGGCTGGTGGACAATGTAGACGACACGGATATGACTTCCAATGTACATGCCCACCGAATCGGGAAGGAAAATTGTGTCAATTAGAACGTGGAGATGCCTGCTCAAGTAATCCATGCAAGAACGGCGGTTCATGTCGAGAGAGTCCTGATGGTTCATCGTTCTTCTGCTTGTGTCGTCCAGGTTATCGTGGCAATCAATGTGAAACAATTGCTGATTCATGTAGGCCGAATCCATGCTTACATGGTGGCTTATGCGTGAGTCTCAAACCCGGATATAAGTAAGTAGACGATAAATTTCATGAAAAAAAATGTCAAAATTTTAATTTTCTTTATTTTAACTTACTTTATTGCAGATGTTCATGTACAGATGGACGTTATGGACGACATTGTGAGCGCGCAACCTATGGACTTCAAGAGCTTTCATTTATGCAATTCCCATCGCTCGACGCAGCCACAAATGATATTTCAATTGTATTTGCAACCACCAAACCTGATGCGCTCTTAATTTATAATTATGGCGAGCAAAGTGGCGGTAGATCAGATTTTGTTGCGATGGAAGTTGTTGATGGCAAGGCAATATTTTCCTTTGGCGGTGCACGAACGGCAATAACATCAATTGTTGTTGGCGGTGAATCATTATCGAATGGAAGATGGCATAAAGTAACAGCCACGCGAAATGGTCGCGTTATGTCGTTAAGTGTATCAAAATGCACTGATAACGGTGATGTCTGTGAGGAATGTCGTCCTGGCGATGCTTCGTGTTATTCCGATGAAGTCGGTCCTACTGGGTAAGTCTTTTTTGGAACTCTTTTACTTTTTTTTTGATGCACATAAATTTTAATGGAACGAAATTTTCTCATGTTAATTAAAATCAAGCAAGAAGTACGTAAGAAATGATCAATTCGTTCCTTGCTTTGAGCCCATTCTTTTCGCCCTTTATTCATACACGGCTTAAATTGCAACATTGTTGCAGATGCAAAAGAGTCTCTCGTTTCACGTTTGTGAAAAAATGGTAAAAGAATCGAAAATTTTTCTTTTAACTCCTCGCCAATATTTCCATACGATTGAAAATGAGTTATAAATTTATTGATGCGACTTCATTTATGTACATCGGCACACAAAGATTTCTCTCCTTTTTTTTTTCATTGACTATCTACTTTTTTTCGTGAACGCAATTGCTAGAGATGCAATTGCTGGGTGGGGCGTTTTGTACTGAGATTTTGTGTATATTTTTGGTGATATTATGAATATTAAATCATGTTTATAAAGAGTTGGGATATTAGAAGTTCCTGTATTTATGTCTTGCCACTTTTTTCTATCAATATCAGCTGCATATTTTAAACATTCGTTAAATTTTATTTTTGATCATCCTTCATAATCACATGAAATGCGCTACAAAGGACGAATCTCTGTGCAGATATGACTCATTTTCCATGGCATCAAAAAACGAAACAGTAAAAATAAAAAGAGAGAGAAGGAAAAAAAGAGTTTTTAATGAAGAAAAAATTTATTGATTTTGCATGTTAATTTTTGGTGCATGCAATCCAAATGTTGATTCTTCGTATCCAATTTCTTGCCCCGAACGAAAAGATTTTTTTTTAAAAAAAACTTCTTTTCTTCTTTTCCGTTTGTGATACATGCAAGGAGCAAGTTGATGTAAAATATCGCAATGTTGTCCAATTAAAAAATATTTCGCGTAATTTTTAATCGCTAATGCACTCAATGAATGCATTATCAGTCACTCACGGTACAAGTTGTAAAATCACCACGCAATGTGACATAAAATATTTATTCGCATTATGCCCTTTTTCTGATAAATACAAATAAAGGAGTTTATAAATAATATCAAAACCCCATTAAATGAAATTGACAGTTTTTACATTGAAATTGCTCTGAATATAATCGCATATATATATTAATACATTGTTGTGCATGTATGGATATTATTGTGTATATTCTTTGTAATTCCTCATTGACATGAAAGTATATCTTATGGTTATTAAAGTCGATTCTTTTGCAACTTTATAATAACTCTCGAAGCAGTTTGAAGATACTTGATTGATTTATTTGCAGAATGGTCATTTAAATGCGTGTTTCCTGGATTATCTTGACTTGTGGACTTTGTGGAATGTTTCGCAAAATTCCACTTGCTTGATTGAGTTTCAATGTAGGGATTTTTGAAGCTGCCTTGTTGATTTATCGCTGAATGAATCGAAACTATTAATATTAACATAATTTTAGTCAAATTCTGTAAATCTCTAAAAGATTTGAGGTTAGAATCCAAAACTTTGAGGTTATTGAGGTTAGAATTCAAAACTATGAGGTTAGGTTGAACATTTTCAGGTTAAAAATTCAGAAATTTGTCGTATCATTGCAAAGTTTTGTGGCTTTATTTAAAAGAATGAAGTTCGGTTCCAAATCTTTGAGGTTATGTGCAGCTAAAGTTAAAGACTAACTCAATAAATCAATGAGGTTATGTACAAAAAACATCCAATAATTTCTAATATTCACCAAACATCTGACACAAGCTCCAGAAGATTCTCAACAACATTCCATAATCCCATACTAATGACCCAAACCACATCCAAACAAACTCATTCATACAGTCGAAAACTTTTCAATTTAAATCCCCCTTCCGTGATAAAAATAATCAGAAATTACCGAATAATAAAATATTAATCATTATAAAATAGAAGCAATATAAGGCATGAATAAAATGAAACGAAGGAGGTTTAAAACAAGAAAGAAACAATAATTTTCATATACAATTTAGTGCCAGTAAATAATCCAAGCAATTCGAATAAGTTCACAAATTTATATATATTTTTTTTTGTTTCTGTACAGTCAGTTTCAAAGGTATGAATATATCCGAAAATAAAACTTTTATCATCATAAGTATGTTCGTGCAATGTTGCAATAATTGGTGATTTTTTATTAAACTTTAAATGTAATGCACAAGAAAACGCATATCCATATGAGCAAGTTGTGGTGTTGAGTTGTAGGTGGGACTAGAGTGCATTTTTGGAGTAGATTTAAGCTAGGTTGATCTTGGTAGAGGTTTTTGGCGGGAATTTCGGTCAATTCTAGTACTAATATTAGTTCTAGTACTTGAACTTGCTCTAGTACTACGACTAAGACTAGGGATAGCTCTAGTACCAAAATACGGACACTATTACTTAGATTAGGACTAGCTCTAGTACTAAGATTAGGACTAGCTCTAGTACTTAGATTAGGACTAGACTTGCTCTAATACTAGGGCCGGTGATTTAATGATTCAAAGTTAATCTAGAATTCAAGGATAGGGGTATAGTTTTCACTCAAAACCGAATCCAAAGTTCAATCCAGGTTAGATTGAGGATGTAGCTATTCATACTAGCCTGTATTCCTTTCTCATATCATCCCTGACTCACTCTCAAGATCCAGAAAACAATAAAGAATCCAACATTCAAATCCAATGAATCATTCACATCTCAACTTGAACGACAGTCTGTCAAACCAAAATTCTTAAGCTCATAAGTCCTCATTCATGCCTTTCTCCATGTGAGCACTAAGAAAATGAATAAAGATTTATTCAAAACAATAATTTTCTGCTGATTAATTCGAAAACAAACTGCAGCGATCGAGAGTGAGTAAGAGAAAGAGTAGAATGGAAATGGGTAAGAAATCAAAGGAAAGGCAAACGTAAAAAAAAAAAATAAAATAAAGTAATGAAATTGGTAGAGAGAATATGTGAGTTGATGATGAGAAATATTTAATAGGACCTCAATTTGTATCTCTTCTCTTTTTTTTCGGGTTTCTTTATATTTCTCATCGCTTCATCATAACGAAAGAAAAAAAAAAGTCCGTGGATGGAAGAAGAAGAAAAATACTTTTTATGGACCGGGCGATGATTTGTATTAATCCGAAATTGATGCCACGAGGCAATGCTGAAATTGAAAAACAAATACCTTTTTATTATCATGCACATTGCTTCGTTTATTCAACCTTTTATAGCTTGAATCGATTTCGTTCCATTGCATAAATTTTAAAATCCACTGTGAGGGTCGTTCACATATGACGTCAATCTATAAATATTCTTTTGAGCAGCTCTGAGCTGGTTCTACAGCTTGTCAGGGCTAATGATCTCTTAAATCTTCATCTAATTATTTGACATCACTGTTGAACGACCCCCCAAAAAGAAATAAAAAGTTTTGTATCTAAATTAAGATTTTTTTGTTTCTCTTTTTCTCATTTCTCCATTTTTAGGACATTAAACTTCAACAAGCATCCTCTGCTTATCGGTGGTTTATTATCTGCTGATCCCGTCTTGGAACGTCCTGGTCAAGTACATTCAGATGATTTAATCGGGTGTGTTCACAGCGTATCCATCAATGGCAGAGCATTAAATCTTAGCAATCCATTAAAATCAGCTGGTATTTCATCAACATGCAATCGCAATAACAACGGTGGTCCATGCTCACAAGGACATCCTGATGATCCAGCTTTATCACTATGTGGCTCATTCGATGGCTGTTTGGATCGATGGCATACAGCAATGTGTAGATGCGGCGGTGATTTATTATCACCTGACTGCTACACCTCAATCGATCCTATATCTCTCGTTGACGGTGGATTTATTGAATATGAGATATCTGAGAAGCACAAACGTATGCAATTGTTGGAGAATATTTATAGCGGTGCATCGCTATGGAACATTGACTTGGGACGTCAAAAGAGATTTTCAATTAAGACTGACAACATTTCAAGTTTGGCACAAGTTGATGATCCACCTAAATCAATGAGCGTAAAATTCCGAACTGTCAAGTCCGATGGTCTTTTGATTTATGCCGCAACAAATAAACATTACACCTCCATTGAGTTAAAGAATGGAAAGTTGCTATATATCAGCAAGCAAAACACTCAAGTTAATATGACATCACCGAAAAGTGAGTACCTGGCTGATGGAAAATGGCACAATTTGACACTATTTTCACACAATCGTGTTGTCCAAGTGATCATCGATGGTAGACTTTATGGAGATGAGTTAGATTCAACTGGTGTTCATGATTTCCTTGATCCATACTTGACAGTCTTATCAGTTGGTGGTGTTAGACGTGAATTATTCCCACAAGATGCTACACCACCCTCATTTGAAGGATGCATTGCCAATTTTACAATTAATAATGAAATTCAGCCATTCAATGGAAGTGGAAGTATCTACAAGCAAGTATTGCAAAGAGGAAAAGTCTTCCTTGGATGCCATCCATTGACTGGTTTAGCAAGTGGTCAAGTCACTGATCCATTATCAATTGGAATTACCTTAGTCATTGTCTTCTTTGTCATTCTTCTTGTGGCAATTCTCGCCTCGTTCATTGTTTTTCGAATCAGAAAGCAGCAAAAAGAGAAACATGATGCCGGTGCCTTGAATAGTAAACAACAAAATGGAACATCAACCTTATTAGGCGGCAGTGGTTTGGTATCAGGTAGCGGTAGTTTAGACATGTCTCGAGTTGGATTACATGTCGGTGACTTATCAGGAGTCGGATTTCATTCTGATTCCTCACATCATGGCACACATCATTTAGTTGCTGCTGAGTTAATCTCCAAAAAGTATAAGGAACGAGAAATTAATTCATCAGAACCACAAAGACCACAGCGACCAGATATAATTGAAAGAGAAGTCGTAAGTAAAAGTCCACCGCCTTTACGTGAGCTTCCAAGTCAATCACATCATCCACATGATCATTTAGCAAATATCGATCAAGGATCAGAATTTCCAGAACATTATGATCTTGAAAATGCCAGTTCCATTGCACCATCAGACATAGATATTGTTTATCATTATAAAGGCTACAGAGAGGCTAGTGGCGTTCGACATCAGAAATATAAAGCTGCACCCACCTCATATACACATCATAAGCATCAACCGTCAGCAGCACAGCAACAACATCGACATTCACCGCATCATGTTGGACCTTATGCTCCACGTGTCCCACCACAAACTAGTCAACCTCCATCGGCAACTCCACCACGTCCACATCAAAGCACTCCATTAGCGAGACTCTCACCGAGTTCTGAGATGAGCTCACAACATCCAAGGATACTTACGCTGCATGATATCTCAGGGAAGCCACTACAAAGTGCACTTTTAGCAACAACATCATCATCTGGCGGTGTCGGAAAGGATGTATTACACAGCAACAGTGAAAGAAGTCTCAATAGTCCAGTCATGTCACAATTGAGTGGTCAAAGTTCTAGTGCGAGTCGTAAAACACCCAATGTACCACCAAAGACACCAAATGTAGTATCATCAAATGTCCCAATGGGTCTTACAGCTGAAGAGATTGAAAGACTAAATTCACGTCCACGAACGTCATCACTTGTATCAACACTCGATGCTGTATCAAGTAGTAGTGAAGCTCCACGTGTTCCTGGTCAACATCTTAATCATCTACATCATTCACCAGTCGTAGATAATCATAGTTCCACATCATCTGATGAGAGTGGAAATGATAGCTTTACATGCTCGGAAATTGAGTATGATAATAACAGCATTAATGGTGATATTCGTCCAAAACGAGACGATGAAAGGAATGGAAATGAAAGTGGTAATGCAAGTACATCCAGTAAGCCACACATTCCACCGCCATCATATGATGGATTTGATTCGTCCTTTCGTGGATCACTCAGTACATTGGTAGCATCAGATGATGACATATCGACACACATGGGTGGTATTTATAGACAGCCAAATGGAGCTTCCCCATCAGCAACAACTTTAGGATGGGATTACTTACTCAATTGGGGACCAAATTTTGAAAGTCTTATGGGTGTTTTTAAAGATATTGCGGAACTGCCTGATACAGTAAATGTTAATGGCGGACGAACAATTCCCGGCTCATTAAGAATCCCAACAAGTGTACAAAATCCATCAGAAGAATACGTTTGATAGGAGATTATTATCAATTTTATGCCTCACTAGATTAATCAAATTAATTTTTTATGTAAAAAGACAAAAAGCTACTTTTTTTGAGTTGAACTTGAACTGGAAATTTAAGAGATATTTTGTAAATATGTCCTTTAAACAATTTATTGATTATATGAAAATGCAAAGACTTTAAATGAAATGTGCAAATATGCAAACTTTATGCTACCTATATTAGGTATTGTAGACTTAGGAATCCCACGAAACTTGCCATAGTATCAATTATGGATTTTTTTAATTGAATTTTTTTTAACATTTAGATTTTGTAAATTTTTTATGTATTTCAATAATTTAATTGATGATTCTTTGATGGGTAATCAGCATACTTACAAGGGTTATTGTGAAGGGTTTGGAGCTGATCAATGTATCAAAAATAATCAAAACAGATTGATCAGTTCCGAATTCTTTTTTTGAAATAGCTTTAAAGCTCTTTACATAACGCTAGTAATTCTAAGAACTTGGAATTTGAATTTAGAATTTGGCTAAAGTCTTCTTTAGTCGACATCGAGCTCTCTGATCGGTTTCTAGCTTTACTTGGGGTGCTTTACACTGCAATCAGAAATCTATAGACGAAGATATAAATGAAATTTGACCATGACTAGGGTAAGGTACTTCGAGTAACTCTAGAAACCATCCATTGAATTATTATAAAGCTATAGAGCTAATTAGGGTTTTACTACTAGCTACTAATATTGAATATAGCTTCTTGTAACTATGTTGATTGTCCATTGAGGTTATAATGCATTTGATTGAATTTTAATAGGTTTCTGACAAGGTGTGGTAGATTAATGATTTGTTATTGAGATTAAAAGAAGGTTTAGGACTGTAAATCGAGAAAAATATTCATGGAAATTCTAATTTTGAATCATAATCTACCACACCCACTCCAAAACCTCAATAATTCAAAATTAATAATAGTAGGGTAATCCAAAATGAGTTAAAATTGGTCATTGCAACTACTTATAGGCCTCAAATAAACATCCTGTTACAATGATCAGAACAAAACTCAATTTAAGGATGACAGAGGATGACAATTTAAATTCTCTGCTATGAAACATGAACAAGAAAGAGACTTATCTTTAATTTTAATGTAGAACATTTTTCTAATTTTATTATCGCATGAGAACCTAAACAAATTTGTAATTGAAAGGAAGTGTATAAAATGTTGTAAATTAAAAAGACGGAAAAATTTTCAAAGAAAATAACTTTATTTTAATTTTCATGAAAATAATAGCTTGATCTTAAATTTTGACTCAATTTTCAGACTATCGCATTCTATTACAGCTCACATTGATTTCAGGGACAAAATGATATCAGAAAAGCACTCTGGTGCTTTCTCATTTAACAGCAGTGGATCGTTCTCACATTTTTTGACAAGTTCTTTCCAAAACGACTCAGACATTTCATCAGCGATCGTCACTTCCTCGACTTTACTTTTTCTCCTTCTGAATTTTATTAATGCACTTAATTTTGTTGCAATTATTGGAGCTAATGCTAAGATTATTGTGAACAGAAGCACTTCCCAAACCATCAAAACTGTCTGTCGATAGAAGTGTCGAGTGTTTGCTGCTCTGCAAGCTGATTTCTTGTTTTTTTTTTGCAGTTTTATTTTAAAAATTGAAACTGAATCAAAATTCAATAACGTGTGATTAGTGCGATGTGAAATTTTCAATGCATTTTCAAATTACATTCCCACATGCTGTGCAAATTTTATTAGATTTTCCTCGTTTACAAATAAAAATGTTTTAAGCTGCAGCTGTACTGCAACTGGGTCAGAACAAGTCATCTAATCCCTTTTATCGCATTCAATATTCATTAAAATGTTCATATGATTAACTTTAGGGATTATATTAGTGATTTTATTGCTTGATTTTCGAGTGCCTATTAAAATAACGAATTTTAAAATTTCGAAACTTCATTTTTACGAACACTTCATTTTTACGATCATATCATTTTTACGAAAAATTATTTTTTCGACTTTCTTTATAAATTTTAAATTTTGAAATGTCGTTAATTTCATCACGTGTTCTCTTCAATAATAAATCTGCAAAAAAAAGATTAAAAGAACAAATGTTTTTAAATGTATGGAATTAAAACATATTTTTTATTCAATATTACATTTCATGGACTATATGTGTATGTTTAAAGGAGTAACAAACACAATTAAGCTCTTAAATCATTTTTGACTCCTGCAATAGCCTTTGATGTTTCAACTCGTGGCACGGATTTTCAACGGTTCAGGATTGATTTAATGGAATTCTCTGTCTTTTCAAAACCTGGTATTCTATGCTTTTGTGGCTTTCCAGGTTTTGAAAAGACAGAGAATTCCATTAAATCAATCCTGAACCGTTGAAAATCCGTGCCACGAGTTGAAACATCAAAGGCTATTGCAGGAGTCAAAAATGATTTAAGAGCTTAATTGTGTTTGTTACTCCTTTAAACATACACATATAGTCCATGAAATGTAATATTGAATAAAAAATATGTTTTAATTCCATACATTTAAAAACATTTGTTCTCTTAATCTTTTTTTTGAAGATTTATTATTGAAGAGAACACGTGATGAAATTAACGACATTTTAGAATTTGAAATTTATAAAAAAGTCGAAAAAATAATTTTTCGTAAAAATGATATGGTCGTAAAAATGAGAGTTCGTAAAAATGAAGTTTCGAAATTTTAAAATTCGTTATTTTAATAGGCACTCTTGATTTTCATTTTGTCATTTCCAGCTGCTCTAGAGTTATAAAAGAAATAACGGCAGAAATAATTTCAAATTCAGTCATCCAGTTTCATTGTAAGAAATTCAAATCTTACAAAACCGTTAAACTCAAAAGTTCTTATTAATCAGTTCCGTACCCGAAGTTTGAGAAAAAAAAGTCAACAAATGTCTCGAACATTAAAATCAGCACTGAGTTTAAAGCAATTCATGCTAAGACAGGAAGTTCTGAAACTTTATAAGGATATATACAGGACAATTAATAACATCCCAGACGAATCAAGTCGAAAGGAAATGAAGAAATGGCTTAGCGATGATTTTAGAAAGAATAAAGACTTGAAAGATGAAATAACAATTAAAATGAGCATCCAAGTTGGAATGAGAAGCTTAAAGGAACTGCAAAACTCTCTCGAATTAAGTGGTAATATTAAAAATAACAACAAAAAACTTTAATTTTATTAAATACAAACTAGATCCTACAGAAATGTCGTCCAAATTATCTTAATTATAGCTAATAATAAAGTGAATGTACCAATTAAGTTGATAGATACAGATAAGATCTCTTTCCTTGACTTACTAAAATATTTTGATGGCAAACTTGTGATAATTGTGTTGACTAGAAACTGTCCATCAAGTCCATAGCAAGGAATTACATTGACAATCGCTAATCCAGATGAAAATACAATCAAATATTTCAGCATTAAGGATATAGCATCAGCAAGACTCGGTTCAAAGACTTTCGTCTTAGGCACAAAATTTGAAATGTCAACGTAATTAAGGATGTCAAGTGGATGTCCATAATACACAAAATCTTTGGTTCGATTCCTTCTCTTTATGTGAAGTATTGTTGTTGTATTTGGTAGTAGTGGCTTAACACATGATACGTGATCAGGACAAGCTTTTTTATGGCAATAATGCTTAGCGTGCTCAATTGTGTTTCTTATATTCAGGCATACATATTGTGGCAAACGTTCCTCATCAAAATTCTCAAAACAGTTAAGTGCTGGGTCAGAGCCACAGCATGTGATTGTACCATCCTTTAAATGCTCAACTTCATGGACTGATTCTTCATTTTCATGCACGAAATTCTCGTCTACGCAATATGCTGGATGATGATATAGTGACTCTGTAAGACAATCAAGCCATTCATCTTCATTTGAGACGTTACAGTCATTGATTTTATAAACGGAATCGCCAACATACAAGCCATTTTCTCCTAGAATTGGTGCGTTGGGCTTGATTTTCTTAATAAAAACTGCTTCTTTTGAGTTATACAGAGGTGTTAATATAATTGGAAGTAATAACAATAATATGTAGCACCATCCAGCTAATATTAAGTTATTCCATATTCCAGCTGAGAAAATCTTGAGTTTTTTCCATACTTTTGCTGCTTGTAAATACTCTGTATCGATTTGTGTATAAGCAATAGGTAGGATAAAGAACAAATGCATTCCAAAACCAGAAACTGGAATTTCCTCAACCACTGCAGCTATTCCGTGACCTGTAAGTGGTTAATTCAATTCGGAAAATAACCGTTATTATTCAAATATTCAAGGGTAAATAGAAGTTTAAATCCTACAAAACCGTTAAAATTCGAAATTTAAATAGTCGTTACCTGCTTCGTGCACAAAAGAGCAGATTAGTAGAGATAATATGTAGTATCCAATCTGATTAAGTGGCAAATTGACTCCAGGTAAAAGAATTTCTAAATGCGCCACTTCCTCAGTACTTGTTTTGCCTGTATTTTCAGATAAATTCGTAGTTTCAGAAGATCCAGTGCACAGTGAATAGATCATAAAGAATAAAGCGACAGGAAACAATATCATCGTGACACAGAAACCAATCTTAAAGGAATGTTTATAAAATCCAGGAAGCTTTGAGCTGTGTCTATTAACAATTCTATTAAACTTGTCTGTGTGGAACTGGATTCGAAAAAATTTCACTGTAATTCCCGTTGATTTTAAGCAGTCTATATACGGTAACATCATGCAACTTTTAAAGAAATAATCGATAAACATGACAATACCGTAGATTATACAAATAAATATCAAAGTATTTATATCCATTTCTATAAAATTCAATATATCTTATAATCCTTAAAATATGCGTCTCTTAAATCTATTTCTTTGTATAGTAGATGGTTATAAGTTGTAGAATCAATAGTCAGATGAATATTTAATTAAACTACATTGGAGATATTTGATTTATAATGAAAACACGAAAAATTAGCTTATTATTTGGAAAACCTTTGTTTTGATACTCCTTTGTCCGACTGTCTAGAATTGAATTTAAATTTTACAAAACCGTTAAATTTTGAATTAATTTCTAAAGTGCTGAAATTGATTAAAACTGAATTAATGTACTTTTAAGGACGCAATGCGTTCATGTCTAAATATCTGTAATGCACAATCAATCAAGCTTGTTTTGCCGGCTTTTTGAATTTACAAAATACGGTATTTTATTTTTCTTTCTTGACATTCTTTTTTGCAGTCTTTTCTTCCTTCTTCTGCTCAGTCTGAGTAGCTTGTGGGTTCTTCTTGAACAATTTAAGAAGCACAAAGATCACAAACAATGCAGCAACTGAATAAAACACGATTGGATACTCATTCAATGCTAGTTCCTTAACATTTGGCATTTCCTTCAATTTACCAACAATTCCGTCGATAAGACTATCAAATTGGCTTGCTGGAACTTTGACTTTTTCAGCACCAACATTTTTAAACCAAGAAGAAGCAAATCCAACGAAACTTTCAATGTCATACTTTTTGAGATTATAGCGATAGAATTTGCCTTGACGGATTAAAACAAAGACTGGAGATGTATCGACTCTAAATCTTTTAGCTGTCAAAATTCCTTTTGTTATTCGATTGACTCTAGCTACATTTAAGCGAATTTTAAGCTTTGCACCTACAGTTTCCCATTGAGCCTGTAAACGTTGACAGTCAATGCATGAATTATCATAGAATTGAACGAACCAGTCGCCAGTTGTTGCTCCTGTCGATGCTTGTGTTAAATGCTCAAAATTTGTATCATCCAGTTCCTTAACAATTGGTTCACGATGCTCACTAAAGAAATTAAAGATATCCTCTGTCGAATCTGGATCATTTTCATCGTAAATCAATGGAACTCCTTGTCTTAAGAAAACTAGACATGGATCTTTTTTAATTGGATTATAAAGCCTGACAAGTTGTGAATTTTCAACTTTCAGGATCTTTGCATCATTAAATGTATTCTCAAACTCTTCCTTTAAAGCCACAACGCTTTGTTCATATTTACAGTCTTGTCCACAATTCTTTTTAGCTGGAATTAAATGATAATTGTCACCAAGTTATTTGCTACGTGTTTAGGATTAACTTACCGAAAAGAATCAGGACGTATTTACTTTCACGAATATTATCTAGCAGTGTATCATCACTGACTGTATTAAGTGGAGATGAATTGATGCATGATATTGTAATAATGAGTATAAGTAACTTAAAAATCATTTTATCACAAAAAATACAAAGTAAGTATCAACAGGTTGTTAATGAGGCAAAAGTTGGTGACTGAATGATTCACCGAAATTTGTATCTGATTTGATCGAAGTTACAAGTTTTGTATACAAGACTTGTGTGCAATTCTCATCTAAAATGTAAATTAAATTCGAATTCTTAACTATTTAAGCAACTCTAATGAATTTTTAAAACAGAACTAACAGCACTAGAACTTATTTTCCTTAATATAAAACTCAATATATTGAAAATATTTTTTATTCAATTTTTTTTTCATCAATTCTTATGTGAGATAAAGTGAAAGCTTAATTTTAATTGATAAAATTTGAATTTTACCATCTTTTGCCTCCACCCCCACGACCTCCAAATCCACCCCGACTTCCCCCACCTCCTCCTCCTCCTGTAATAGTTAAATAATAAATTAATAAAGTTGTTTAAAAATCATATTCACACAAAATTTTCAATTTTTGTGAATCATTAAAATCAAAAAATGCAGAAATATCAACTTACTTCCTCCGAATCCACCCCCACCTCGTCCCCCAAACCCACCACCTCCTCCTCGACCACCTAAAACAATTTAATAAGCCATAAATATCTCAAAACAATCAATAAAGTTAATCAAAACTTACCAAATCCACCCCCACCTCGTCCTCGACCACCTTAAATATAAAAATACAGCATGAATATCTCAAAAAAATCCACAAAACTATCATAATTACCTCCAAAACCTCCACGTCCAGCTCCACGATCACCACCAGTTCCTCCTGCTCCTCTTTCTCCCTTCTTCTTCTTTCCAATTCCTTTTGCTTTTGGTGGTTGAGGTAAAAATCTGTTTAATGGAAGTAACTTGGCTGGATCAATGTAAAGCTTCTGTTTTGGTATGAAGCTTGATGCTTGCATGTTGTCGCCTAGCTTTACTGATACTGAATATTCTCTCAGTGTACCGAAAATCTCGTCAATCTTTCCAACTTGTGACTTATTCTCGAGAAATATTGGTGCATTGAAATATGGAACATCTTCGATTTCTGCCTTGAGTACAAGATCGTCTTGGCATGTGTAGTCAAAATATCCTGCAAGATAGAATTTAAAGATAATAAACTATTATGAGTTTAATTATGTCTTAGCGTTTTTATAAGAATTAAAAGTTTAGCGCTTTTGTAAGATTTGAAAAGTGAATCGGTTTTGTAGGATTTGAAAATTTAACAGTTTATATAGAAAGCTGAACGTTAATTAAGCTTACCAAATGGAATAACTCGTGCTGGAGGTCCTTGATCGAAGCTCCTGCCACCTCTACCTCCACCTCCACCTCCTATAAAAGCAATTAATAAATGGTTAAAAACAGTTTTCATGAATAATTTTTTTTATATTCACACCGTTTTCACGTGTGAATCTATTGGTTTTGTTCAGATTAAAAAATCAGTTTTTCGCATTTTGAGAGGAAATGGAGCAAGATAGCTGAACATTTTCAAAGATGAAAAGTTTGTGCCTGAAATTTACTTTTATCATAAATGATGAAATTTGTTGAAAGTGCAGCTTGAAAGCACAGAATTATAGTATTTTCAATTAAAAAAATTTGTATTACGGATTAGGAAAATTTAAGCTCTTGTGTGGCTTTGTGACATAAAGTTGACGTTCGGAGAATCAATTTTTCTCCTAATTAAGCTATTAATCTATCATTAAGTTTACATTTCATGCTGCAAAGATGAGGATTTGATATAAAATTTTTGATTACCCTGTTGAAACTTTTATAAAATTCCATTTTTGGTCACAAAGTTACGGACCGAAGAATCGAAATATCTTAATAATTAGGACAATTTATGCTCACACAAATAAATTAATAGATAGGAAATAAAAAATTACATAATATAAGGGGCCGTTCACTTATTACGTTACGCAAAAAAACGACTTTTTTCACCCCCCCCCCTCCTCCATTGTTACAATATGTTACAACTCACAACCCCCCCTCCCCCCATGAACGTTCATAATTTATTTTATGTGTGAGTTTGTAAACAAATTTTTTTCGTGAACTTTTTTTTTAAAGACAGACGACAGTTTGAACGTTACATACTTCTTGACACCCCCCCCCCCCCCCCCCTATGTTGTTTGTTACAATTTTTCAACCCCCCCTAAAATGCGAACGTAATAAGGGAACGGCCCATAAACTGAAAATCTTGCTAGATTTAGTTGAAAAGTTTGACAAAAAATCCATTTGAAGTCAAAATTTTAGCAATTTACCCTACAGAGAATCGCTCAGATTTTAAATTGGTTGCAACATTGCTGAGAAAATCGCAAAATACGCTTTCTGTAAGCAAACAAGCAAGCAAGAAATCTCAATAACGAGACATCGTAGAGACTTCTAGTTTTTTACATTTGATCCGTGCTGCTCTATAGAAGAGCTGTATTGTTTTTGGGCAAGGTAGGAACAGCCGTTGCTTCAGAAAAAGCAAAAAACCTTTCCTATCTTACGAATTTTTCAAAAGAAAAGTTTACCGCGATTTTTATAAAATTAAACTTTGGATGAAAATTTTTTAAAGAATGTTTGTTAAGCTTTAAACCTTCAAACATATGCTGAGCGAAACTCATCTGAATCATCAAGCTTTATGCCTTCAAACGTATGCTTAGCGAAGCTAAGCTGACTAGCTTTATACCTTTAAACTTATGCTGAGCGAAGCATAAGTATAGATTTATAGCTTTATATCTTTAAACTTATGCTGAGCGAAGCATAAGTATAGATTTATACCTTCAAACTTATGCTGAGCGAAGCTCAACTGACTAGCTTTATATCTTCAAACTTATGCTTACCGAAGCTAAGCTTACTCTCCAGCTTTATACCTTTAAATTTTATGCTGAGCGAAGCATAAGTATAGATTTATACCTTCAAACATACATATGCTGACCAAATCTTGGTCAATCCGTAAGACTTTTGATGGTACGGTGTGAATAAATCCACATTGAGTTTCTATGAATAATTTTTTTTTATAAATCAAATAACTTACTTCCTCCTCCAAATCCACCACGTCCACGACCACCACCTCCTCCTCTTCCTCCTAAAACAAGCAATTAATACCTGTAAACAACTTAATTACAAAATTCTTTAAAATATATTCAACAAACCAAAACCTGCACCGCCTATAAATAACAAAAATATCGATTAATTCACTGTGTTTCTATAGCATTTAATGCTCATTCTTACCTCTGCTGCCTCCTCTACCGCCAAATCCCATTTTTAACTATTATTTGTTAATAAAATCAATGAATTAAAGTCAAAAAGATTTTGTTGTTTATTAATTTTTGTTAAACTATTTCTCACATGTGTTTTTTCAGGGGGAATAAAGCTTGTTGTAAAGTTGTTACAATGTTTCTGTTTCTCCCCTGCTTGAAAATTTGAATATATTTTAGTCGTTATGTTTTTAGGCTTTAGACGTTATGCTAAAATTTGAATTGGGATGTGGACAGAAAAGTTTTGCTCGTAGATAATCAAAGAATTTAAAGATGTGCAGAATTAACAAAACAAATGAAACTTTTAAGCATTATTGTAGAATGATTAGTACTATAGTCGTATATACCTGCACTTACACATCCAAAGTAGCGTCTACAGTAAAATTGAAAAGGAACTAATGAAAGCAAATCAAGACAGAGAATTTGGCATGCAATTTTTGGCGAGGACCAACAACAAATTTTGTTTTTAGCACAGAAAAAAGAAGAAAAAAAATCTCTAAAATTAAATTTAATGAAAAACACAGAAAATATGAGTAATTAAAGTATTCAAACAGATTAAGTATTAATTAAAGGCACTAATAAAGGTAACAACAATGGTTGAGAAGGAGAAAAGTGATGAAATTAAGGCGGAAGATGATGGAAATGAAGAGGTAAAATAATTGATTTAAATGGAATGAAAAATTTGTTAAAACTGAAATTTCTCACAGGAAAATTGCACAAAAGCGGCATATCCAACAGTTTTCACGAAAACCGTAACACTTCCGATGCTTTTAAAGTCTGGAATTTTGTCACCGGGAAAGTCTACAATGTCTATTGAGTATATGGTAATATATGAAAACAAACAAATGCCAAAAATCCACTGTAATTAACTTTTTGTCAAATTTACAGGGTCAGAAATTTATTGGGGATCTCATGGATGATGGAAAAATTAAATCACAAGAAACAGAAACAGTCTTCTGCTCGCCAAGTGCTTGGGCCATAAATTGTAAAAAGATTATTAATCCTGACAAAAAATCAGGATGCGGATGGGCCTCTGTTAAGTACAAGGGAAAGAAGCTTGACATTTATAAAGCGATGTATCATAAAAAGTGCCAACAACAAAAGGATCAACAAGACAATCCGAGTGAAGGTAAAATCTCCTGGATCTAATACAAATATATACTGGATCTAATTTAAAATCTCTTTTAGATGAAGAAAAGGAGGAGAAAGAAGTGATAACAAAACCAGTAGAGCTACCAATACCACCGAATAAGAATTTGATGCAGCACGGAACAATTTGTAATCGATCGATACTGCAAGATGTAAATACATTGGTAGAGGCTGTGCCATTTACCAATATGGGAAGAATTCAACCATTTCATGTAAACATCAGATCGTCAGTAATTCTATTAATCGATTTTCATTGCCATTTAACGACAAACGAAGTTTGTGGATATTTGGGAGGAACGTGGGACTTTAATACTCACAATTTGACTGTTACACATGCATTCCCGTTTCTAAATTCACGATTCGATCGTGAAAAATCATCAGAATGTGAATATGAGATACAAAAATCTATGCTTGACAAGAATATACAGTTAGTAGGTTGGTATCATACACATCCACGATTTGCAGCACAGCCAACAATGCGAGATTGTGACAAACAGCTTGATTATCAGATAAAATTAAGAGGAACTTCCGACTCGAATTATTCACCTTGTGTTGGATTCATATTTTCCTCATATTGTGACGAGGATGTTGAGAATGAGTCACAAATTACGCCATTCTGGGTTTTACCACCACCAGAAAATCGACCACACGAATTGGGACGTCCTTTAATGGTAAATTACAACACACATAATGATGAGAAATTACCAGACGAAATTAAGGAACAAATGAGAACATGCATTGATTATTACAAACAGTTTCAATACGAAATCATTGACTTTGTGGAAATTAAATTGAAAGATGATCAAAAGGTGCTGGAAAAGATGAAAAATTCACTATTTCTGAAATTTCCTCTTGAGGATCAAACAAGTGGCGAATTATGGAACTGGATTCTTGATTTACTTGGATTGGAACTCGAAAATCCAGTAATTATCCCACGAAAGATTCTCGAACGTAAGAAGCAGCTTGAAGTGGAAGAAAAGGCACGCGAGGAAGCAGCTATGAAAGAAAGAGAAAAAATCCAGAAAGAAATTGAAATGGAAAAACGATTAAAAGAAGAAAGGGAACAAGAAGCTGCAAAACAAGCACTAAATGCAATTTCTTCACTCCAGCATCAATTAAGTCAGCCATCTGGATTAAATATGACACCATCACCAATTTCCTCATCTCCAATGCCAGCAACAACAAATGTTAAACCTAGTTCCACATCCACAAATGCATCATCCTCGCCACGAGACAGTCCAGCAACAATTCCTTCGACAGCAACAAGTCCTGCTAAATTTGAAATTCCCGTACGTGCAAGTCCATCACCTGCTAAATCTGATACATCATCAGTTCGAGCACGAAACTCGCCTATTCCGAATACATCAAAGTTACCCGAACGACCATCCAGAAATAGTTCTGCTGTAAGTTCTGGTAGTTCTAAATATGATCTCGGTTATACGAATAATTTAAGTGATCTCTATGCTGCAACATTATCATCATTCGCAAAAAGTTTACCTGGTCTATTGCCGTCTGATTATACAGCATTGCTACAAAGTGCGAAATTGCCAATGTCTGATTTTGGAATGTCAGCTTTGGGCTCATTACAGGCATCAGCTGCTGCTTTATCAGGAGGTGGAAACTATTCGCCAACAATGTCAGGTATAAAGCTTTATTTCTAACGTATTTTTGTAAACTTGGTTTTAAAAAGGTTTTTGTAAAAAAACACGCTATGAGTGCGTCTTAAAAATTGAATTAATTTCTACCGTTACATAATTTAAATTTCAAATTTTTCTAATAATCCGTTGAATATTTTACAGGTTCAAGTGGCGGCAAAAAAAGTTCAACGCACACATCAGCACAACAATCTTCAACATCATCACCATACTCATCAAATAATAAAAACAACACATCGTCATCAAATACAGGAAATTCATCAAGTCTAAATTCAAAGAATTCAAATTCATGGCTCTCACAAATTCCAAACATGAAAGAATTTATGAATCAGCTTGAAAAAGGCGACTTAAGTGTCCTAATGCAATCTCCATACAACATTCCAACATGTAAGCCATCATCGAAAAGTAAGACATCAACATCAACGTCTGGATCATCGAGGATGGATTACAGTAATCAAGACATGAGTCGAGAACCGAATAATACACAAACTGGATCATCTACATCAACGACTGCAAGTAAGAGAAAAGGACGTCCACCGAATGCACCGTCAGCAGCAGCATATGAGTATGATTTATACTCAAAATCTGATGTTGGAAAGATTTCAGACTTGATGAAATCACCAGAATATACACAAATGTTAATGAATCAAGCGAATGCATTCAGAAGTTTGGGTTCAGAAATAACAGTGACAAGAAAACCATCAACAAGCTCAACAACAAGCTCCTCGTCATCAGCAAGTGGAAGTAAGAAATCATCGTCAACGAATCAACCTCAATCAGCTTCAAATTCAGCAGCTGCCAACAATGCATCACTCTTAAATCGTTTACCAATTATGGATCTCAATTATTTGGCAGAAATCTCAAAATCAATTCCTGAATTAAATGCATTACTTAATTCAAATAAGCCAGAAGATATAAACGCACTCTTACAGATGCAAATGATGGCTAAAAATATGGATTATGCTACAGCATTTTTTGGTGGTGCTGGCGGTAATTCAAGTCCAAATAGTAAAGGAAATTCGGCAAGTGTTGCAGCACAAACGAAAGCAATGCAAGAATTTGCAGCCAATTCTAATATGTTATCACAATACATGTCAGGAGCATCAAATTTGAATCTTTTTAATCCAATGTATGGCGCCATGTCCGGTGGAACTATGACATCACTTGAGAAACAAACAGCAAAAGAAATGAATAATTCAAATAATAATTCAAGAAAGCGCGATAATCGATCAAATTCAAGCTCAACAGCTAGTAGCCGAGCACAAGCGAATATAAATGCAGCTCCAAATGCTGCTGACATGCTGAATAGTCTGTTTGCGAGTGCCACAAAAGGTGGTGCAGGTAATTTAATTCCACCAGATTTAAGCTCGTATTTTGCAGCATCTGGAATTAATTTACCTGCAACAACAACAGCATCAGCATCTTCATCTAAAGGAAATAATAACAGTAATAATGGGAATCCATTAAGCACATCTGGTGGTGGAATAATTCATGGAGCTATGGACTATTCATCACTATTTTCGCACATGACACCAACAAAATTACAAGAAATGACATCACTTTTTTCACAATCAAAATATCCTGGAATTCCAGATCCGTTAGCTAAAAGTACCTTGGCAGCAAATAATGCATACTTATCACCATCACTTATGAAGCTTCAACAAGAAGCACTAAATACACAACTCATGAAACCGCCAAAATCCTCATCGAGTTCATCTTCAAGTAAGATTGAAACACCCCCATTGCCATCTCCAAATTTATCCGAAAAACGTTCAACGCCAACGAAATCGTTAAGGGATAGTCCAGCGACAATTCCGAAATATAACTTTAGTGCAGCAGATTTGGCCATATCAAGTCATGTTGAAAATACACGAAAATCGACACCGCCAGTTGATTTGGCATCATCAAAGGATCGAAGTGTTCCACCTAAAAAGCGTATGGAATTTTCATCTATTGCTGAACTTGTTGCACCGTCACCAACAAAACGACAGAAATTTTCGGAAGATGAAGAAGAACCAGCTATTTTAGACTTATCGAAGAATTAATCATCTTCTTGTACACGATATTTGAAGACATAAATTAGATGATTTGGGGTCTGGAGAGCTTTAAGGTCACTTGAATGTGAAGAATAGGTTTCGAAGTGATTTGGGGTTGTTCCTGACTCTGTTTATAAACATCACAAAATTTTCGGATTGTTATTTCAAAATTAAGGATAAGAAAGTGAAGATAATGAGTTATAGGAGACAGTATTAAGGATATTTATCAAATCAAAAGGAGAGAAATTGCGTTTGCAGTATACGTTAAATCAAGATATATAACAAAGCATTCAAATGACCCAAAATTGAGATCTAGACCTCATAGGGTTGGATAATGTCTTTCTTGTACTTTATTCATATATACGGCGTCATAAGTAAAGAACTTCCCAAAATGACGAAAATATCTAGTTCAAGATAGTATTGACACCTTAAATACACCCCAATTGATAATTAAGATCCAACCACGATATTTCAATAATATCTATTTCTATCTCTCTTTCTCATTAACGTAGATCAATAAGAAAATTGAAACACACACACATTATATATAAATACATAAATATAGTTGAAAAAGGCATTGAAAAAAAAAACTTAACAAAAATGCAGCTTAACTTAGCTATAAATATTGACTATCAGTTTTACATACTCAGAATTTATTTTTTTATTTTTTAAGAGATGAACAAATGAGAAATTTAGACTTTAATTATTTTTTTCAATACACATACTTTTAATTTTAATTAAACTGACACAGGATGAATTTTGTTCTAATTTATTAAATTAAAATGAGAAATTTAAAAAAATGAAAAAATGATATTTCGACAAATTTAACATTCTTGCTCTATACATGTTGTATGTATACATAAATTATAGTATTTTAGAAAATATTTTCTAGATTTTATCAGTTTTTAATTCTGGAGAAAAGAAAGAAAGCTTTTATTTAATAGACTTTTGTGACTATGACCTTAATAGTATTTTGAAAATCATTTTTTTCTGTATAATTGATGGAAATTTTATGAAATAAAAAATTTAAGGAATTAAATCATAAATAAATTAACATAAAATTTGAATCGATTCAAAAACAAAGCACTGAAAGAATTAACGATCGAATAATGTTTGAAAAAGAAACGGTCAAAAATATTTGAAAATTACAAATTTGAAAATAACTGCCATTATCAGTTCCAATCTATCTAAAACATCTTAAAGCAACTTAAAAGTCACCAAATTCAATAATTTTGTTACTGATAAACCCAAATAAGCCCCAATTACCTTAACCAATTGACATGAATACGATAATTACCCAAAATTAACTTATTAATTAAATGAAAGACATTTAAATACATTCAATTGACACACAAAGCATATCAATGTGAAGTAGACTATGAGAAATCGATTTATTAGTTTCCACGAAATACAATTTGATGAAAAAAAAGCTTAATTAAGTTTTTGGACATTTAAGTGTGGTGGATGTATTCGCTTACATGTTCTTCAACACTTCGGTCACTGGATTATCGCACATGATTAGATCTGGATTCTCTTCTTCGAACTTTGTCATGCTGTGAGATCGCTCTTCATCCTTCCATTCACCAAACTTAGTGTTATAGCCGTACTCATCAACAAGAGGCTTTGGTTCGTTCTGGAATTAGATTTAAGAATGAATTTCAAAAGAACGTTACAAAAATTACAAATTACAATGAACTTAAATGTTACTCACAGAATAATCAGCAGCTGCAAACTTGGCAAACATGTTGCGATAAACTTTCTTTTCTTGATCACGATAAGCCTTCAATTTTTGCTTACAAATCGTAATTTGGTTCAGTGCTGCTTTATTTTCAGGTTCAATTTCTTGAGCCTTTTCAAAATCACCGAGAGCTCTTTCAACTTCGCCAAGAACCAAGCTAGCCTGTCCACGACGGAAGAATGCTTTGAGATTTTTAGGATCCTTTGAAAGGACTTCATCACATGCATGTCTAACTTCATCTTGATCATTAAGTTTTTGGTGACATAAGGCTTTATTTAAGTAAACGGAAATGTGGAGATTTTTTGCTTCTCCGTCGACTGCACAGTCTGTGGGAATGAGAATGGAATTAATAACTTGTTATCAGTTTATAACAACTGACTTACCGCAATTAGATAAGAATGCTTGACATTTCTCATAGAATTTTAATGCCATTTTAAATTTATCTTGCTTAAAATAATTGGTGCCTTTGTCCTTAAACATTTTAGCCTGTACGAGACTCTCATCAGCATCAAGCTTCCAGCTTTCAATCTCCTTTTCAAACTCATTAAGTGTAACTACATACTCAACAGTGGAATTCGATGGAATTTGGAACTGTTCATTTCCGTCAGCACCAAAAGCATATTTAGGTTGAATGACAAGACGAGATACTTCACCTTGAGTCATTTTTTCTAATCCAGATTCTATGCCTGACACTACATTGTATTCTTCACCCTCGCCAATATTAAACTCAACATCACGATCATCAAAAACGCGTCCTTCGAATGTTCCAGTAATGTGACATTTTACAAGTGCACCGTCATTTGGTGTCTTCTTCTTGTCACTTTTCGTTACTATGTACTTCTCAACTCCACCATCACCATTCTTTGAGACATCCTGACCTTTCCAACCTAACAATTCAAGCTCAAATTTGAGTGTTGATTCGGGTGGAATATTTGGAGGGGATCCCATCTTTCCATAAGCATAGTCTGGCGCACAAGTTAAGACACATTTCTCGCCCTTTTTCATTGATGCTACTCCAATATCCCATGATTTAATGACTTGACCTTTTCCAAGTTGAAATTCGAAAGGTTCACCACGATCTACACTACTATCAAACTTAGTTCCATCTAATAATGTTCCCGTATAATGACAAGACACCGTACATCCGTCGCTGGGAGTTTCTGAACCTTCACCTTCCTGAATAAATTAAATAAACATTTTTTCGGTGAAAATAAAAATCCATAAATTTTGTTTTATTTAATTATGTGCTTACTTTTAGGATTTCCTTTAAAACTCCACCATCATTCGATAGATCAATCTGTTCTGCCATCTTTCTATGTTACTTTTCTTACGAATGCTCTATAGTTTATGAGTTAATTTAATAAATTTAGAATATTCTAGAGTTTTACTTGATTGTTTTCAGAAAACACCAATACAATCAAAGATTTGCACAAACACAAGCTTATTTTAAAAATGCGGGATTTCTTTTGAATTTCAAAAATCCGTTAAAATAATTATGATAATTTCTTAACCGTTTTTATAAATTTATGGATTAGGTGCCAAAATCAGGTCAACAATCAATGAAATCAATGTCTAATCATGAAAAATAACTTCAAATAATCAAAATAAAAGCAACACAAACGAACCAAGAAGACAGCATGGCAATAAATCCTAATCTGAGCACATGTTTCATCCATAAATACTCTCCAACCAAGTCACGTGTAGTAAAAACCAAAACTTGCCATGCTCCGTGAGAATCCAGATGCAAGTATTATCTCGCAAAACAAGTTGTACAAACCAATGAAGGTTCAGAAATAGTTTAATATTCCCATAAATCACTTTCACTGCACAACTTAGCATGAAGAAAAGCATGACACGAAACAGTTGTACGTCCTTGCAAGAAATTCGATCGCTTGCATTTCTATGAGACATTAGATGTGCTTGTTAATTAATTAAAATTTGAATTTTATTTGGTAATGAATTATTTTGGAAATTGCTATTTAGATGGGCCTCGTCACAAAAAAATTGTACGTGAGTGACGCTTTGTTATTCTTGATTATTTCCTTATCCTTAAAAGTGACAAATTTAAGAAATACTTTTTTGAAAAGAGAATTAAAATCTCCATCTATTGTTGTACAATTCACTTCATAAAAGTTTACAGTTACTCGAAAAAAACACTTTAACTGAGCGTCACTCACGTACAATTTTTGGGAATTTTGCTATATCTTCATTATTGTTTATTGATATATCTCCAAATGTATTTTTTTAAGGTCTAAAATTCAATTCTGTTCTTTTTGAGTTCATAAAAAATTTAAAAAAGCTGCATTAACATACCCAAATGGACAAAATTAAGTTAAAAAAATTTTAACGGTTTTGACTTTTTTGAATTTTTTCGGTTGTAATTTGCTTGTTTACAAACAAAATCGAAATGAAATTTGAAAAGTCACGAAAATATCACTCAATAATGATGTAAAAGCTCTTAAAATAGTCGAAACAGCTAATGCATAATCTACTTTTCCTATTCAAATCATAATATTTTGGATTAATGATTGAATAATTAAGAATTTTGAGAATTTAATTTTTGATGTTTTGTATGATAGTGTTAGTGAAAAATTCAAATTATTTTTTTCCGTTAAGCAAAAATCCTTAAAAAAACGTCGAGGCCCAGATCAAGTTCCGATCGAATTTCTAATTTAATAATGTTGAGGAAAATGTTTGTCCTTGAAGGAATTGTTATTTGCTGGGAATAAACACGCAAACTTATCCCGAATACTCCTGAAAAATATTAATTTATGGATAATTGATGACAGTTTCAATGTTGTTTATTTTATTGTTGGAAATGAAAATAGATTGATATTAAGGAGTCCTTAAATTAGTCGTATTAAAAGTAGATGTGGGCATAAAATTGAGGAAATAGATGTCTGATGGTTTTGTAGCGCAAACCTCAATCTGGAGGTTAAATTTGAGATAAATAAAATGATGCTCAATTCATTCGTCTGAATTGGGGATGGAAGTGGATTGATGGTGCATTTAGCATGCAACAAGCCAAGAAAATGGATCTGATCAAAATGTTCTAAAATTCAAAAGGATTATGAACTTTTGTGTAAATCTTGTCTAATAACATGAAGAAGTTTCAAGTCAGGAAAGGAAAATACTTTACGTTCTTATCCCAATCAACTTACCCAGCTATAAATAACCCTCAAAATATCAATTAATAACCAATTCCGAATGTCAATCTCACATTTGGTCCATTACTCAATCAGACGATTTCTTAAAATAATCTTTCTACCATTCGAAAGCTAGCCAATGTAACGACCACTTAATTGACTCACAACACGAAACTTCACTTTGCATTCCCAGAATAAAAACATTTACGAATTTATCATGAACTAACCTAATTTTTTCGTCTCAGATTTTTATATTTTTGTGCTTGCCATTCGAAAAAGTCTAGACATCCATTTTAATGAGCAGAATCATGATGATTTTCCATCCTAGATGTACATACATAATAGGAATAATGGATATAAGGATTATTTACTTTAGATTCTTGTTTGTAAATTTACATTTTCGACAAAAGCTGAAATACGATTTCAAATTAGTTCATAATTAAACATTCCATTTCCATTAGTATCAATTTATTTTATGGGCTTTCGAGAATTCATGTCAATAAAAGGGGCCGTTCACTTATTACGTTCGCATTTTAGGGGGGAGGGGGTTTGAAAAAATGTAACATGGGGGGGGGGGGGGGGTGGTGTCAAGAAGTATGTAACGTTTTAACTGTCGTCTGTCTTTTCGTTCACGAAAAAAATTTGTTTACAAATTCACACCAAAAACATTTTTTTAAATTTTCCACCTTTTTAATGATTTATGAATGTCCAGATCACTTTTGATAGCTAAGCAATACATAGTTTTTGTTATATAAAGTAACAAATCAATAGAAAACTGGTTTACAAGACTTTAAAATACAGTCATAATTTGTAGAAATTTTCAAAATTAAATCAATCATAAGTTTAAAAGTAAATCTCTCTAAATCTGTCATTCATATGATGTTTAATATGATCCCATCATTGTGATATTTACATTCAAAGTTGATTGAATTTTCCAAAATTTGATCGTGCATAATATTTTTCATGACATTTTTGAACTTTCTTCAAAAAAAACAAATTTTTGCTTTATATCACAAAACAATAATTCATGAGAATACTAATAGTATCAATCAAAACATGATCTATTAAGCTGTACAGTATTTTGATCTTTAAGAAAAAAAATACAAAAGAAATTTAACCGTCTTTTTAGATTTAAAAGAAATAAAATAAAATTATGAACGTTCAAAGGGGGGAGGAGGGGGGGGGGTGGGGTTGTGAGTTGTAACATATTGTAACAATGGCGAAAAAAGTCATTTTTTTGCGTAACGTATTAAGTGAACGGCCCCAAAATGAAATTGTCAATAATCAGATCTGGAATTTTTGATGCATCCGCAAATAAAAAAGTGAATAATTTGCATAAAAATAACAAATTTATGGCCAAAAATAACAATAAAATTACGAATAAAATCATTCATAAAATACCCCCTTATCTGGAGGCATTCATAAATGATGACTGTCTAAAATTCTTCTTTTTCGGCATTTCCAACTCATCTTCAGACCAAAAAATTCATCTAAAAACCCTCCTCAATATAAATCACATCGCCAGTAAACATCCCCACCTGCCATCATCGTCTGTACATTAAAATTTAACTTACATTCAATCATACATGCACTTTCAGTTACATAATAGTTTCCATGTACACAAAAGGCTGTCTATATATACAGCATATAAATTCCTGTTAATGAAAATGACTTGAAAAGAAAAAAAAAAAACTAAAGCTTTCCATCTCGAAACACGAAATGTTCATACACAAAAAAAAATCAGTACATAGCCTCAATCGGTGGCATTAAATCGCCATTGAAAAATTTGCAAGGAAGCAGGAACTGTGCTATGTGTAGATTTTTATTTTTGTATATAAAACACTTCAGTGTGTATTTAAAAGGTTTGGTTCTGGATGGGGAATATGGATTGGGAATATTTTTGATGAAGGTTTAGTAAATGTGATTGATGGAGGGATGAGAATGTTGTTTTTTGTTGCTTATTAAGGTTTTAGTTTGTCTCTTAAATTACTGGTGAAGTGTAGGATCTAGATGAGGATGTCTAGAGTTATCTTTGTAGTCGAATGAGCTATCAATTGGCTTAATTAATACGCTTGAAAGTGGCAGGATCTTGACACTTTATCAGCACAATATTTAAAACTATTCGAATCGGGTTAGAATTTTTGGAATTGAAACAAAAAATTGGTATTTTATTTGCAGATTAAATCATTAACTTAATTTTAATCTAAGAATGTCATATTTTTATAACAGAAAAATAGCGATAATTAAAATCTCTTCAAAAATCTTAAAAGCTAGCTTCCAAAGTCATCAAAAGTGCATAATGTTCTAGACAAGAACAGCAAAAAGCGTAGCAACGCAGCTGAGAGAACATCGCATCGCGGTAAGTTGATCGAGATGCACTAGATTTTATTTTCATTATCGAGAAAACCATATAAATATTTATATATACCTAGAGCATAAACTAAGAGGAATTTTGAGTATTTTGTGAAGAAATATACACGTTTAGAGTACATAATTTAACGATAGCTCATGCCTCTAGGAAGAAAAATAGGAGAAAATGCACAAAAATATATAAATGCACAATCGAGAATTTATTTTTCCCACAAAAATGTTTTTTTATAAACGGAAGAATTTTGAGAGTCTGATGCGACTGTATGTGTGTTTTCACCCTCTCGTGTTACGGAAAAGTGCTTCTATTCTTCGGGAGAGTCAAGCACGCTTTTCCATTTTCACATTTTCAGTCTGATTTTGTTTCTCATCGAATGATGTTGTATTTTATTACTCCGTGTTATTGTTGAACCAAAAAATATATATATATAAATTATATAAAGCAATTTTAATATATCTAACAAGTTTAACTGACAAAAACGAGTGTTGAGGAATTTTTTTCAATTTAATTTTCAATTTGAAAAGTGAAAAAAAAAATTGTGTTTTGTGAAAAACTTTTTTTTTTCTTTTGGCTAAAATTGAAAAGTTTTTTTTTCGTCTCTCAACGATTTTCCTTCTTTTTGTATGTCGTGTGAGGGGGTAAAGTAGGAAGAAAAAGGAATTTGGAGCAGGATTATAGTTTTTTTTTGACACGAAAATTCACAACACAAAAAAAATAAATCTTTGTACCTTTCGCATAAAATTGAAATAAAAAAGAAAAATGTGAAGAAATTTTGATGTTGGAATAAAAAAAAAAATTAAGAAGTTAGAAAATCTATATCTAATGCATACAGCACAAATATATTAGTGAAATAATAATAATAATAATAATAATAATAATAATAATAATAATAATAATAATAATAAGGAACAATAATAATTATAATTAATAAGTATGATGTACAATCGTGTTATAATTGAGAAATATTTGATTGAACTGTTTGATGTGCATTTTATAAAGTATCTTATCTACTATCCACGATAATTTCGTTTCTTCGGTTACGTTTTTAAATGATCTATAATAACTTTACAATAAATCATACAAAAATGTTGAATTTTACTTACTTGGAAGATATTAATGTTGATATTGGTGATGAATTTGCCACTTTAAATCCACAAAACATGTTGCAAGATACATCCGTGAGTGAGGATTTCAATCTCGATTATCCATATTCAATGGCTAGAAATAATTCGTCGCTTGATTTTGATCGGGTGAGGTTTTTTTCTTCTCTTTATGAATTTTTCTCATTTTCACAGCTTTTTGTGCTTAATGAATTTTTAAAGCGTTGTTTGACATAGCAACTAGGCTGCTTAAATATCAAAATAACTTCGCGTTTATAGATTTTAAAGTTGAATTTTAAAATTTATATTTTAAAACTTTTTAAATTTTTATAATTTGCTTAAAATAGAATGTTGGAACATTTTAAAAGATAGTGAAATTTAAATTTTTAAAAGGTAAATTTATTTGACTTGTTAATTTTTAAATATTTGAAATAATTTTTTTAAGATTATTAAGAAGAAAAATTTCAAACCTTTATCATATTCACACAAAATTTTCAATTTTTGAGAATATATTTTAAAATTCAAATTTATTTTTAAATATCGACATTTGGATTAATTCATTTTAATTTTTAATGCTGAATTTTTCGATCAAAAGTTAATTTTTTAAATCTTATTTTAAATTAAATTTCAATTGTTACAGCCTACAAAATTTAATTTTATCTTTGCTCTTAAATTTTGATATTTTTTTTCGTCTATAAATTTTATTTATTTTCTTTTCGTATCGGCGTCAATCCTTGAAATTAAATTTCAATTAAACTGAAATCACAAAAGGATTTTGTTGACATAAAAGATCTGTAAAAATTATTGAAATAATCTCTGCTGCATTTTTATAAAATAACTGACCATGAAAATCTTTTTCAAGCGTGAAAGTGGTTGTCGGAAATGAAATTGGCATTCAAATGTTCAGCAAAATTATGTACCTTTTTACTGCAATTTTAAGCGGATTTGAACAAACACTCAATACAAGTACATGCTTGAAAATTAATGCTCGAATGATTTTCCACGGTTTTCCTAGAAATAAGAGGAGCACGAATAAAAAAATCTCAATGGAGCTTTTTGATTTGAAATGAATTTTTGCTCAAAATAATTCAAGTTCAACACAAGTTTTGAATTTTTTTTGAGTGGAAGTTGAATTATGGCGGTGAATATTCAGCTACATGATTTTTAAACAACTTTCATATTTTATTGTTCTTTTTAACAAATATTTCATTTTTCTTAATATTAATTAAATTTATTTGAAAGGCAAATTTATGTTTTTAAGCGGGAATAATTCTGGCGAAGAATTGTTGAAGCTTAAACTTTGTGAAGTGGATTGTTGTTGATGGAAAATCTCAAGTAATTCAAGAGAATTTTACAGATTTATTTGAGATATGCAAACTTTTAAACCTTCAAAGGATTTCCGCAGTGTCTGATCAGATTTTTTGGTTCGCAGAAACAGTTTAACATTAAATGCCAAGCACTAGATTGGTCTGTAAGGTCACAATTTGATGATCATAAAATTATAAATGCATTTGAGCTGAAATTTATTTTATATCTTGTATCACATTTTAATTTCATTGAGAATTAGGTTTTTAAAATTCATGAATCCTACTTCAGCCTATAAATATTTGCAGTCTATAATTGATTCAACATAAATACTTAGAATTCTAATTTTAACTTCGGATTGTACAACCACAAAGCGAAAAGGTTTCAACCAAAATGTTTAATTACTTTATCGCAAAGCTACTTTTAGATCCCAAAAACTCAGAAATTATTAATTTCACAGCGAAAGCAATTGACTTCCTGCTGAGTTATTTATGACTTTCTATAAATATCCTGAATTTATCAATTGGAAGTTAATTAAATATCCGGATTTGTAAGAGGAAATCTAATAAAAACCAGCAGGTTCCTTTCCCTATAATACTTGATTTTTACAACGAAATTTTCCAGCAATAATAATTCATTAAAATTCTGTTTGAATTTCCTTTGTTCTGGGAAATGTTTTATGTCATAATCATGAATCAATGAATGAAAAAAAATATTTATGAGTTCCTCAAACTTGTACTTGCTATTGCTCCCCATTAATAGGATTTGTTCTCGATAAATGAAGAGAAAATTTAAATTGAGAACTTTTTCAAACAAATATCAATAATTTTTTCATGCGGAGGAAAATATTAATGTTTAAGAGATCACGTTCGAGATTATAGGATGAGTCGTGAGGATATTGAAGCAATTTTTTTTATATTTGGAACCAAACAAGCTTTCAATTATTGACTCTGATTTAAGAAAATCTGTTACATGATTGTGAATCATGATGAAGTGTTTTTACTTCAGTTTAAAACTATTAGATAATTTTTTCAAACCTTATTCTAGTAATATTATGTAGCTTATTATGAACAAGCTGTCTGAAAAGTTTTGAGATTTTTAATTAAAAGAAGTTCAAATCAGAATTTAAAGCTTGAACTTAATATAATTGGAATTCAATGATTAAAAATTTTAAAACGGAAACACTCAACTTTGGCATTTAAAAGTTTTATTTTTGAAATTCAAAAATTTAACTTTCGAAATTAGAATTTTCACTTTCGAAATTAGAATTTTCACTTTCGAAATTCGAATTTTAACTTTCGAAATTCGAAAATCAAGTTTCGAAATTATAAATACAAAAGTTACCTATTTAAGAACCCTCAATAATTACAATTTAATCATTCTATCTTTCCAGCTGCAAGATGATTCACTCATATCAAATGAGAATTATAACGATAGCATTGCGTACCTTCAACTAATGCGACATTCATCGACAATATCAATCATGTACTGTATAGCCTATACACTTGTATTTAGCGTTGGACTTATCGGTAATCTCTTTGTCATTTCTGTGGTGTTTCGAGTACCGCGCATGAGAACAGTAACAAATTTATTCATCGCTAATTTGGCATTTGCTGATGTTCTTGTGATCATATTTTGTGTGCCTGCTACATTAATGAGCAACTTGTTTGTGCGTAAGTATTAAAATACATATTTTCTTGGGGAGGACTCATTTTTATAGGGTGATTACAAAATATTTTTGTCTTATATGATACATAACATCATATGAAATGCTCATCAGAAGGAAAGAAGTCTCTCTGTTTTTTTTATTGACGAGACGTGATGGGAATTTAGACATTTTCAGGGCAAGAAAGTTACAAAGAGAACATAGATAGTTGTGAAACATTTGCAACTATATTAAATTATTTATGAGGAAATTCCTCTATTCAAACTCAAAGATGCAGGGCATGGACATCTTGGCTGAAAAACCTGGGAGTTCTAATGATAATTCTTAGGATGGGAGTTGTTCTGATCTTAACTTGAATTGAAGGCTCTTGTTCTGTTTTTTTTTTTGGCAATCTCTCCACTTGTTAAACTATAACAAGCTTCAACTAGCTTCAGCTCTCTACAAACCTAAACTAGCCCAAAATTTCAAATAGCTAAAACTAGGTTCTACTGCGCTGCCATAGAACTCTAGGTTCCACACCTTGCAAAAGACAGAAAAATTCCATCCACAACTTTCTCAACTATTAAATTATATTTACGGCAAGTCCATTACGAATGGAAAAATAATTTTTTTATGAATTTTAGTATTCTCCTCCCTATCCTGCTCTCAACTAGCAACTCAATTCTCATTGACATACACAAGCTGTGAAAAATTAGCATCGATTTAAATAATAAATTTCAATAGCAATAATTTTCCTATTGGACTTAAGTAATTGATGTATGTATTCGTTCACATAAAATTAATTATGATTTGTGTGTATGCTGGCTGCTGTTGCTTGAGGGTGAAACATATAATCATTTCTCGCTGAACTATACGAATTTTTTTTGAATATATGGCATGCTAAAAAATATCAAGCGAATCGAGAAAAAAGAATGGCATATAAAATGAAAATATTTATTGATTCCTCAACTTTGCTTTAATGCCTGTGACATTCACGATTTTTTCTGTTGTTCCCGAAAATCCCGCTTTTTTTACGGAATATAATTTATTCGTGGGATTTTAGCATGCGATGATGCGTGGATTATGGAAACAAAGCGTATTTATCGAGGTTATAGCAATGGAGTAAATCTGAAACTTACGAATGAAGCTACAAGCTACCCTAATAAGCCGCCCATACACCGAAACAATTCTTCAAATTTTAACCATGAACTTCAAATTAAAATCTAATTATTCCCATGCAACAGCTAATTATCCACCTACACACCATATCATATCCACAGACTCCAATAATCCAAATGCTACATGCAAATATTCAAACAGAAAAAAAATCTACATAAATCATGCGAGGCTCTCCAAATATTCCCGAACAATTTGCAATGAAAATTAAATCACAATAAACATTGATGATCGTAAAGCTTTCTCCATCTATACTTTTTTTTTGTCTACAACGAGTTTGGAAGCTCTTATTTTGTACGATGCATATTTAATGATGAAAAGAAAAATCTCCACCGCACGTTTCAATGTGAACGATGCAATTAAGAACGCTTTACGTTGTACGATTCGTATTACGAAGCTATGAGTAAGGCATTTTTTCATAAAATTTAATAAGGATCAATTTTTTCAAATTATAAAATAAAATAAAATAAAGAACAGAGTTGAGCAAACTGTCGGCTAGAAAGTTTATATAGATAATGTCTCGCTTTGGTAACGCTGCTGGTTATTGATTCAGATTTATAGGCATAGCCAAATAGAGAGAATATTGTGGTCACTCTTTCTTTCCGACGCACTTCAATTTATTTTGGTTTTTTCGAAAAAAAACCAGTATCCCTCTCTTAGCAACATCCATTTAATCCCATCCTATATCTTATAACAAAAGACAGAACCTTTAAAATCAAAAGAAACAAGTCTGAGCCCAACTCTGAAAATGCTTGCACACAAATCATATTTTATTTTCTATTATATTATGCAATAATTGAGAAATTTCCTACTGATAGGATAACAATAATGAGATTATAGTCGTTTATAGTTATGAAATCAAATGTTTATTAAAAACTTTTATTCTTCTACTATTTTTTTCTGAAAATGCTTTGAATCGAATTTAATTTAATTTATGACAAACAATAATATCTTCGTTATGGGTTAGCCTGGGTCAAGCGTGTAGCCAGGAGGGTCTTGCACCCCCCAAAACGTTTTGAACCACAGCGAGAGCACGGCCTAAAACGCTTAAGAGGGGGGCAAGACCCTCCTGGCTACGCGCCTGGCCTAGATTAAAAATCTACTATTTTTTACCTATGATGTCCATAGCTGTCAAACATGCGATCAAAAGCAATGCTTAAAAAATCAGCTGTAAATTCATAATTGACTAAATTTTGCTTCATTTACTCACCATTTAAAAATTCTGAATTATATTTTTCCATCACAGTTGTTTCATTGAGAAAAAAAGAGAACCCGGAAGTCGATTGGCATATTGTGCATTGATTAAATAAAGACGTAACTCACAACTGCTCTGAAAAAATTGTTCCTTTCGCACAGCATACGAAAAAATGACAATTTAATGTCTTTATCATGTGCATATGTATATATAAACTAGTATTAAGTAAGTGGAACAGATTTACTCACTCAATCACAAAACTAATCAATAAAAAAAAGGATTTTTCGACAGCTGGCTTTCTGCTCGACAAAAAAATAACTTTATTGAATCTGTGTCCGTTTTGAAACAAAACGAGTTTTTAAGCTTGAAAATGCATTTTTGTAAAAGCTGATCGGTGCACATTTTAGATTCAGGAAATACTCTTGGTTCAGGATGTGTATTTGAAATTGAAACAAAATTAATCAATTAAAGTTAATTTACTTGAAAAGCTATTTTAGTTGAGTAAAGTGATGTTCAGTATTAAGTAGCTAATTGATGCTCACTTTTGAAATCAATTCTCAGAAATGATACAAAAAGGCTCAAGCTCATCAAATTTCAATCTCAAATCTCTGATGCATCTTCATTACATCATGATTCCAATTTCTGAAAATGCACCAGCAATTGTTAAAACCGTTGATTGTTGTGTTGCAACAAAAGACAATTCCCCAAACGACACAATAGATGATGCTAGTTGTTGGCATAAAAAAAATCAGTTCAACAGAAATTCAACGTTGTTTGTTTTGAGAAGTAAAAATTGTCCCATTGGGTTTAGCAATGTCATTTATATTCTATGGGACACTTCCGCATGAACCTTTTGGACATGTCTTGATTGTTAATGTCTTGATAATTTGATACATATCTCAAAAATGTTACATTCAATAAAGTATATCTTGCTGATATTTGAGACAAATGACTTCCATTTTGAGTCCCTAAAAAGTCAACTTTTACTATTTTTCATAAACTTTTCATCCCTAAATTCTATTTTGTGTGTGTGCTTCTGAAGTGTCGCTCCATCTCTCAGTTTGAAGCCTTTTGTTTATATTCACTATGATAAATGTATGTACAAATACTTTGCCCAAAATGTTTATTCTTCCCGCAGACTGGAATCGTTTTGATAGCCGAAGTTTCATTCTTTTTTTTGCTTCCTTTCCTTTTTTGTGTGTTTTGTATCCAATTGAATTTTCCTGAGGGAAGAATGTTGCTGATAACGTTGTTGTTGATGGTTTTGGCAGATTGTCTGTTTTTTAAGCTAGTAGGAAAATAAAGAAGGTAGAGATATAGTCTCAAATATTTTTTTTCGTTTAATAATAAAATAGTTTTTCATATCCTTTTTCATCCATCTTCTTCCTACTTAGTTTTAGATCATAACCGTGGCAAATTGTCAAAATAAGGTATTTCTGATTAGAAAAATGCGTCTTTTGTTCAAAAAATACATTATATTTCCACATCTAGACTTTTCTTTGTTTGATTCTGTTTTTATTGTAACTGTTTGAATTTCCCAAGATGAAAAAAGGACCGAGATTGGTCAAATACTCGAAGTAGAAAGAAAAAAATAGTCATAATATAAATTGTGATTGCGGTGGCAAGGCAACAAGGCAAAAGCACACACAGTAAAAAAATCACAGTAAAATTCTTTCACAACATTTGACTTGATGCCTCGGAATTCTTCTTTCAATTTCATTTTTTTTTGTTCTTTCTCGCATCGCTTGAGGCTATAAAAACTAGTAATTTAATATCGTAATTTGTCATTTGAATTAAATGAAACTAGAACATACGCATTCTTTTATTGTTTGTTGTTGTATGTCTTTTGGATTAAATGACATAACCCTGTGGCATGAGAAATATTGCATATAAATCTTCTTACTGGATCTTAAAATTCAGTCTGAGTGAGACTAGAGATTCTCTTCTGAGTTGAGTTTGAGTTGAACTAAAGATTGTTGAACATAAAGCGTCGACTTATTCAGACTCAAAATTAAAGCGATGACTTACTCTGAATCAAATTTAAAGCACTGGGTTGTATTGATTGAATTTTAAAGCGCCGATTTCATATTAAAGCAACGACTTTATAAATGCAAAGAGTTAAAGCAACAATTTCTTGGAATTTTTTCTTAAATCAGCAATGATTCAAAATTAAAGCTAGACTTAACTTGACATTGAAATCAAAGCAAATTTCTATAATAACGAAAGCACATGTGACAAATCTAGAAATCAATTTGTAGAAATTTCTATCCAACAAATGTGTAAGACAAGAGAGTCAAAACATTCGCATTTTCAAATGCCAAATGAGTAGTTTTTCACACAATTTTCATTTTTCTCATTCTTTGCCTATCTATTGGCTCGGAAAATTGAAAAAAAAAGAATCGAGAGGAGATAACAATTTTCTCTAAATTGATTAAGAGCGACAGATGCACTTGTAATCGATTGACATTCAATTTGATTTAGTCATTTTCATCACCTGCCATTTGCCAGGAAATTAATTTTCAAACTACATTAAAAGCAATTTTTTATTTCCATTTTCATGCTAGTTCCATATTTGAGATTTTATTAAAAAGTTTTCAGAAACAAATTTCCGAATGCAAAAGGAGCTTTTAAGATATTTTTAATCAAATGACAACAAC